GCTCTTTTCAGATTAAAAATACCTTTGAGGAAATGTATTTTCAGATGCCAAGTAAACTGCATCATAGCGCACGGGCGAAACAAAATGAATTAGTGAACCTAACGTTTTGGTAAACGATGTCCATCRCTTATTTACAGATATTTTATTTTTTATCGAGTCACACAGTTTTGAGCCAAAGGGGGGCAAGTGAGGGAGCCCACCAGTTTTTTAGGGGGATCATTGACCACCTGTGGCCCACCTTTGGTGGCACCCCTGAAGATAAAATAAATAACAGCGCAATATTCTGGAAAATTTCTCCTTTGTTTCCATAGTATGTTGGGATAAAAAAAACTAGTCGTAGAGCTGTCCAATAGAGGGCGCTTGTGACCCTGTCACTTGTTATAACACTGTTATAACACATCTGAATGATTAGGTCAAAATTCAGACACATTAATGGAAAATTTGATATATTTTTTGTCATTGTTCCTCAGTTTTTGAGCCTCCAATCATCCTCACACAGTGAGAGCCCTTTTATTTATTAACCAGACCACCCCCCACCCCTCCCACTTCCTACTTGACGTTTTAAAAGGTTATCCTTCRCAGTGCCACGCTCGCTTGACAAATGGTTATTGTTGAACGAGAGCAAAATATATATTGATCAGGAGCCATATTTGAGTAGATTAATAGAGCCGTTGCGATGTTTTTTTTTCCCTCAGTCTGTCTGTGTTTGATGCTCGGGGGGAATCGGCCATCTTTTTCTGATGTCATGGATGCAGAACGGTCGAGACATTACGCCAAAATAAATAAATATTTCAACTGATTTATTGCACCTGAGCTAAGAGCTTTCTAAGAGTCGCATAATTAGATTATAAAATCAAGTTTCCCAGCAGCAAACATCCTTTTTTTATATTCTGATAAACTTTCTGCCAAACTTCTCCATTGTCCAGAGGAGGCTTTTAGACAAAGACATCTTTGAAGTTTTATTTATTTATTTTTTTTTTTGCACTGGGACTGCTCTGAGTTGTGTATTGACTCCAGAGCCAGTCATGTCAGCTGTCGATCAAACTGGTGGAGAATAAAAAGTGCGGCTCCCCAGCCTCAGCTGGCAGCAGAGGACGAGCAGGGGGGGCAGCAGCCACATTAAAGCACTTCCCTCTCCTTTCGTTACCAGAGAGGCACCATCGCTCTGCCTGTCAAAACCCCTGTGAATTCACACCGGCGTACCTGCAGACCGATGTGATACAATTAGGTGCTGATTATGTGCGAATCAAACGCTGACAGCCTGACCGYGTAGCTGTCTGCCATGTTGTCCTTCCCCCCGTTAGCCAATCGGCTGCCTCCAGAGGACCGTAATTGATTCCCAGGCCTCCCCCGAGCCCCACCACCTCCCGGAAATCTCAGAAACACACATCCAGCTTGTAAATATTTCCCCCGCGCGCTTTGAAGCGGGAAACTTTCGGAGGCACAAGCCACGCACTTCCTGTTGAGCGCCGAGCGCATCGGGAGCACGTGCACGTTGACCGGATCGCAGAGGCGTTTTTCTGCGTGTGCTGCAGCCAGGCGTCCTCCCGAAGCCTCGTTTAAAAAATGCATGAGAGGCAGGAAGCGTTGTTTGTGAGCGCGCACGTGTGGTTCTTCACTTCAAAGGATAACCGTGCACGTCAACCTTTACTTTACTGTACACCTGCAGCCCGTTCCACTGCAGTGAACCACTGAGGATTTCTTTTATTTGAGTCTTTATGTAGACTCAGAATATCAAAGATTTTATCAATAAAAACGTCTTTGTTTTTGTTCCTTTGATCCAAAGTTGTATTTGTTTAAAAAAAGTTGTTTTATTTTCCTGTATTTGTTACTCACGTTTATAACTTAAAAAATAAACTTTTTATTCAACAAAAAACATTCTGATCTCTTCTCTCTGGAATCAGCTGCTGGCTCTGTTTTTGTCTTACGCTACCTTTAGCTTTCAGCTGCAGTTCAGTTTTGTTAGTTTTTAGCTATAGCTTTTAGCCTTTTAACTAGTTTTTAGTTACCTTTTACTTTTATAACTTGTTGCTATACATKTATCTTCCAGTCTTCTGCTACTTTAAGATTTTAAACTTTCGCTACTTTTACTATCTAGCGTTTTTGCCATTTTAGCTAGTCATTTGCTAGTTATAGCTTTTAGATAGACTTTTGCTCATTTTATGTTGCTTTTAGCTACTTTTAGCTAGCTAGTTTTGGTTAGGATTTTACTTCTGAATTAAGTTTTTTATTTTGCATTTAGCAGTTTAACATTTAGCTACGTTTAACCAAAGTTAGCCTTTTGCTACTTTTATTGTACTTTTCGCAATTTACCTTTCAGCATTGCTTAAACAGATAACAGTGTTTTTTTATGTTTTAGTTACGGATCAAATTTAACACTAAAAATTGTGGGCGGCAAAACAAAAATTGCCATTTTAGCTATTAGCTAGCATTTATAGCTTCTAGCTAGCATTATGGAACTTATAAYTTTTAATCAGCCTGTTGCTAGATTTTTCTTTTAGCTAGCTCTGCTATATTTAGCTGGAGTTTTGCAATTTTTAACTTTGTCAGCCTTTTTGTTTTTAGTGTTGAGCTAGCAYCCTATTTGTTTTAGCTTTTAACTTTTCAGTTTTAGCATTTTTCTACAATTTTTTTATTTGAAAACAAGTCCTGTAACATTGGAAACTCTGTTTGGTGAAAAAAGTAAAATGTAAGGCAGAATTTACATTGTTTTTTTGTTTTAATTTTTAGTCACATATCAAATTGAACACTCAAAATGTGGGTAGCAAAACAAATAATGTCATTTCTCGATATAATTTACCTTTCAGCTACAGTTCGGTTATGTTAGTTTTTAGCTATAGCTTTAAGCCTTTTGACGAGTTTTGGTTATATTTACTTTTAGTTAGCTTGTTGCTATACGTTTATCTTCTAGCATGTTACTATTTTTAGATTTGAAATGGACTTTTGCTACTTTTACAATCTAGTGTTTTTGCCATTTTAGTCAGTCATTTGTTGGTTTTAGCTTTTCGCTAGACTTGAGCTAATTTTAAAGTTGCTTTTTGCTRCTTTTAGCTAGATTTGGTTAGCATTTAGCTTTTTTAATTTAAATTTTGCTATTTCTATTTTGCCTTTAGCAATTTTCGCTTTTAGCTAGCTCTTTTAAGTTGCACTGCTTATATTTAGTTGGCATTTTGTTACTTTTAACTTCAGTTTGCCTTTTGTTATTTTTATTATACCTTTTGAAGTTTTAGCTATTATCTAACATTTATAGCTTCTAACTAGCATTATAGAACTTTTAATTGATTATATAACTTTATAAATTAATTTTTTAGCTAACTTTGCTATTTTTAGCTAGTGCTTTGGTATTTTTAACTTTGTTAGCCTTTTGTATTTTTTTTAGTTAAGCTTTGCTTGTTTTAGCTTTAATGTTTGCAATAAATAAAAGCATTGTTTACACATAGATACTTTTTTTTAGTGAAGGATCAAATTTAAGACTAAAAATGTGGGCGGCAAAACAAATGTGATTTATTACAACAATTTACCTTTAAGGTTTKTGAAAAATTGATCAAATTAAAAGAGCTAAAATATCAAAAAGCCTAAAAGACGGATCATCCACGCTGTGACCTGAGAGTCTTGTGAGAGCACTCCAGAGTGAGAGCACTCCAGAGTGAGAGCTCAGAGAGTGCTTCAGAGAGGATTAGGTCTTTTAGAATCACTCATCCACAGATCTGTGCCAGTATTCCCAGTGAGACTGATTATCTGGGCCTGTCGCAGACACACAGGATAATTACAGGGTCTCCCTCAGGTCACTGCTCCCCACCACCCCCGCCCCCCCAGTGGAAATGCACCGCTGAGCGAAATGCCACCGATGACAGAGAGGGGGTACAGGTTAGTCCTGCTGACCCACATCCACACAAACAAACAAACAACAAACAAGTTCCTCCTCAAACCCACACATTTTTCTTCTCAAACAGGTCCTTAGTCTTAATTATCACCCTTTTTTTCCTCTTTAAGGAGCACCCCCACCCCACCAGCTGCCCCCTGGCAGGTCTTAAATTCTGAGTCAGCTCTGCCCCGCCCCCTGGTGGCTCGTTTATAAATGACACAGTGATGATTCAGGACATCAGTCGTCCCTGAAGTCATCTCTGCTCTTATTGTGGTCGTATTAATAACAGCTGAAGTTACAAACCTGATGAGGACAAAGTGAAGCTGCAGGGGACTTCAGACTTCGACTCGACCCGGACCCCCGGTGGAAAAAAACGACACAGAGGTGCTGTTTCCTTTCAAAATAAAATAAAAAAAATAATTAGAATAATATACAGGCAGCAGATGACTTTAAATGACTCATCTTATTAACGACACATTAAAATGGTTTTTAAGACAAACAAACTTCGGCTGCTAAACTCAGGTTGACCCGGGCCCAACCAGGCTGGACTGGAAGGCTGGATTTGTTCATTCTGGTCCAGATYTAAGTCCTTAAAAACTACAACATCAGCTAAAAACAGGGATGAAACAGAACACAGAAGAAACTGACTGAGGAGTCAGAGCTAAAACAAGCACATGAGCTAAAAGCACACATGAGCAAAAATAGCTAAAGTTAAAATTAGCCAGTAGCTGAGAGTTAAAAATACCTCTAAAATTAGCAGAACACAAGCTAAAAGATACAAATAGCCAAACTGTAATTAATTACTAAAATAAAAAAGCTCAACACAAAACTTAAAAACCACAGCTGAAARCTAAAATGAGCAAAACTAGCTAAAAGACACAACAAGCAAATATATTCATTCAAAACTAAAACCATCAAAATACCAGTTCAAAGCTAAACTAGCAAGGCAGTAGCTAAAAGCTCAAGTTAGCAGCTAAACACTAAAAGGGGAAACATCATAGCTAAAATKAGCAAAACTAGCTAAAAGATACAACAAGCAAATATATTCATTCAAAACTAAAACCATSAAAATACCAGTTCAAAGCTAAAACTAGCAAGGCAGTAGCTAAAAGCTAAAGTTAGTAGCTAAACACTAAAAGGGGAAACATCATAGCTAAAATTAGCAAAACTAGCTAAAAGCATAAACAAGCAAAATAGTATTTTTCCCTTTATTTAACCAGGAAATTAACTCACTGATATTTAAAACCTCTTTTCCAAGAGTGACACTGACTATCTGGGCCTGCCGCAGACACACAGGATAATTACAGAATTCAAGCTAAAACCATCAAAGTTGTAGCTTAAAGCTAAAACTAGCACAGCAGTAGCAAAAAGCAAAACTTAAAGTGGCTAAAGGCTAAAATGACAAAAAGTCATTTGAAGCTAAAACATCAAAACAGTAGTTTAACTCTAAAACCAGCGCAACAGTGGCTAAAAGCCAATTAGCCAAACAGTAGCTAAAACCTCAATACGGTAAGCTAAACTTAGCAGAATAGCTAAAATCTACMTTTAGTGCATCTGTACCTTCTGCACCAATCTATATTTAGGCTGCTGAGGCAAGAGATGTAGGAGCGAAACTTAGCAAAATAGTAGCTAAAACTATTACAGGTAAAGTTAGCACAGTATTAGGTAAAAGCAAACCTTAGCAGATTAACTAAAATTTAAACAGAGCACATGTGCTAAATGCTAAAATTAGCTTAAATGTCATTCTCATTTGTTCCAGTAAAAACAAATAAACATTAAAAAGTCGTTAAAGCTACAAACAGTTAAAGTCCCAGCACCCATGAGCCAAAACGTTTTGATGCCTGAATGATTAAAACAGCTAAAGTTTAGCTGTAAAACACCAAGCAGAAAGTGTAGCAGCAGAAAAATAACGACAGAGCTGAAGGAGCAGATGTCTCGATGCATTACGCAAAAATCATTTAAATAATAAAATCTGAAGCATCCCGTCCTCTGCGACGAGCTGCAGAGACATTAGGAGCATTTAGGACCACTTCAGAGCCGACCTGATGGACCATCCAGGACCCCCACCCCTCCACCCCCTCTCAGTCTGTGTAGCTGCTTAATTATTGATGCTACGTATTGCTGATTTTGGTCTTTGTGTTGTCCCTGATGATCACTGTAGTGAAGAGGATGGAGGTATTTATCTAACTCAGAAAGTGGAGCTCTATTCCTCATCCNCCCCCACCCCCCGTGGATATGACCTCAGCACTGCGGCACACAGAGAACAGTTGTTTTCATTAATCCTTCAAATTATAAACACGGGRGGGCAACTCTGGGGACCCTTAGAGTCCATGAGCTGCAATGAAACATTCAAAAAAATCAAAATGTTTTTTGATAAAAAAAGAACACAAATAAAACACAAATGAAGCCACAACACATCATCACAATGAAAATAAATCGTGTTTTACTGTTTAGTTCATTATTTAAACATCATATAATCATTATTTCAGATTTAAATTAAACCATGATGAGCCTACAATCTCACAAACCAAGACTGCTTTAACTTTAGGACAGCTCAATGCTGCCATCTGGTGGTTGAGGTCGATCACTGCATTGGTTCACACATTTCAAACTATTGGTGTTTTTTACCTTTTGTCAGCAAAATATCTCATGAACCATTGAAGAAACTTTCATGAAACTCTCAGGCAGTAATTATTGGACAAACAAGTCATTAACTTCTAGAGTTATGCTAATTTAAACTGGACAGAAGCACAAAAATGGCTAAAAATCAGCCAGGTTTTATAGATACTGAGCTAAAATTGGGTCTATTCTGTGGCAAGAGAGGGAATATTCTTCACTTCTGTAACCTTACAATGTTTTAACTGTGATTAAATAAAAAAACACTTCTTTTTATGCCCAGATAAATTCAGTAAATTCAGACATTGACACGCTTTAGTAATCAGGTTTGTGCAGATCTGCCTTTTCTTTTGAAGAAAGTTGCCTTTTAGCCGTTTTATCCTCAGACAGACGGGGCCCCCGCAGGTTCGGGACCCGGTTTCGATAGATCTCCTCCAGCGGATCTGGTTTCCGAAGCCGCAGCGTCGAGGAGGTGCAGGCCCAGAAACAATATTAGCAGTATTGACATCTTTTATGTGTGGCAGAGGTCCGATCCCAGAGGCCGGAACACTAATGGGGAAATATTGAGTGTTGCCAGAACAGAGGTTTTCCTCTAATCTTTCCATTATGCGCCTCGGAACAACCGCTCTCAGCCGGGGCCAGCGYGCCCCAGATGGATGGGAGATAATGCGCTCACTTTGGTTGCAATAAAAGGGGCGATAACTCAAAGTCATTCACACTCTCCGATGATTAGCCTGTCTGAAAGAATACTATTAAACCGGGATCTTTGAGCCATTTCCTTTCTACGGTTTGCTGAGTGATCCAATCAATGCACTTCCCCATCTTTTTTCCATTTCATCCTTGACTTATTGCGATGTTTGAAAGTCTTTTTTTTTCTGTCTGTGGCTCCTGGTTTTAAACTTTCATCTGGTGCAAGAAATCAAAAAGTTTCAGGTCTTTCTCCAGAAACAGGACCACCCACCCATGATCAGGGAGGTCCAGATTTTCGTACAGCTTATCTGGGATGATTCCTCTTCCAGAAGCCGTCTGTTGTGTGTCAAAACAACACAGAAAGTTTTGATTATGTCCATCTATATCAGTGGTTTCCAACCTGGAGGGCCTTTAAACATCAACTAAACAAATTAAAACTCTGTCTAACCTACGTAGGTCTTTTATTACTTTTCAAAATAAAAGTTTGTAACTACTCATTATACTCTTTGATAAACAGATAAAGCTGAAAGTGTCTTTGGGAGAGGAAGTGTAATATGTGAGGAGAATATGGAATCACTGACCCACGAGGTCCAGTCCTGTGATGCACAACTAAGACGCCGCCGCTGTCCTTGTGTTCCAGCTCCAGCTCCAGCCGTGGACCCCGGCAGCCAGCTGAMGGCACTGCGGCTGCTGATAACGCTCGGCGTTTGGCTGCCGCTGAGCCTTTTGACTCCAGCTGAACTAGTTGTTGTGCAGGAAACAAACATCTGTGTGTGACGCCACATGTATGACAGACTTATGTTTTTTATAGACATGATGGGCAGGAGTTGGGGGGGCATCTCTCCTGTGTGCCACCAGATCCTTCAGGTCCTGCAGCCCGGGTCGTGGCGTCACCAGGAGCCAAACTTGTTCTGGCACATTCTGCAAATGTTCTGCTGGACTGGGGGATGCTGAGTCCCAGTCAGCGCCTCAGGCTGTTTATTGTGTTCCAGGTGAGGGAGGGGGGGTTTTTCTGTCAACAGGAAGTGATTCTGACAYGGTGGCGTGTTCCAGTTGAACATGTTTTCACATGACATAACTCAGATGTGGGGACACTAGGTCCGGTCTGATGATGTCCTGCATCCTTCTGGGTCAACAAATCAGGTTGATTTTTTGTTTATTTACATCTAAACGAGTGAAAACTTTATCTTTACTAAAAGTTGCCTCGAATTAAACTAACACATCCTCCGCACTTCAGCAAGAAAGAGCAAAGAAGAGAACAAAAAGTCCAATTTACTGGACCTCYTCCTTTTTTCCCATCTGGATCCTTTAGCTGTTATCGTCGTCAGTGCAGAGGAAACAGCACAGAGAGACGAGAACAACACTTTGTGCTGCGAGGATAATTACGTTTACCAGAAACGCTTCAGTGGCTGCGCAGGCCACACATACAGCAGCTCATAGTCTGAGTAACACAATGAAAAAAAAAAAAACAATATTTGACCCAGTTTTATGTTGATTGCTGTTTATTTAAAATAAATCATTGTGAGAGGATGATTGTTGGTGCTAAAACAAGCTCAAAACAGAACATATTAGCTGTGGACTACTGCTGTCAAACATTTCCCCATTTTATCTAAAAAGCAACAACAATATGAAAATTATCAGCTGGTACCACTACAGAGCCCTTCTGCTCCCTGGGAAAAACTGTTTCATAAAAATTTGTCCCATGGTTCATGAGATATTCTGGTACAGACAAATGAACACAAACAGACTCAGACAAAAATATTACTGCC